AATACTCCACTCGACATAATTATCCCGGGGTTCAAATTTGCAAAATTGCACTGGTTGATTAAAAGTGGGATTAGGAACATATTTCCAACACAATTCGCTAACTTCTGAGCCAAGTTCATAAACTTTCACTATGAATTAGCCAACTTTTCTTATAACATGTTATTTACCAGGCCCACGTACCCCAAACATTTCTTGGATCAATTTCTGAGCTATCTAATGCTAAATCTTGAATTTCCTAAACACCGGAAAACCAAACCCGAAATTATTACAGTAATTTGGGGTGTACGCAACTCTTCAGCGCCACCTAAATACAACTACCAGTAAGATTAGGGGAACTGTCATGTTTTCTGACACCTCTGATTACCCAGTCTGAGTTCGCAGGTTTGAATCTTGTACTATGCATGCACATACACAGTCTCAAGTAGAAATTGAAATCAGATATCCATTGAAATTAAGGTGCTCCATTGGTATGTGAACTAAGACGCGGACACCAGAATGTAGTATGAGACCAGGTTAGGGTTAGGATATAATTTCAGGTACAAATACTACGGGAGGGACTCACTTGACTAGTCCCCGAACTTGAATAGAACTAAAATAAGAAAAATTGAAATTAAATTATGGCTTAACCCTAACATGGTACACATACTCTGTTCAGGTGTCCGTCATATTGGTGCACATACTTCTGGGCGCCGAAATTTGTTTGGCCCAGCCTTGTTTGTAACATGATGTTCTAATTCTTGTCTCAAAAACCGTAAATCCGTTCAAAACCAAACTTTAACTCTTTCATGGATTCTTCCTAAATCGATTTTATATAACCTGTACATGTACAGGAACGTTGCTGTATATAAGTAGTAATCAAATGCCACTATTATCTATTTTAAGACCTAATTCATTTGAATTATTGCACCTGATTTTTTCTAGCACCGCTCATTGCCCAACACCACTGTAATCAAGTGGATGTCTAGGTCACTTGCAAAATTAGCCGAACCGATATTACAACAAACGCACTTTTGCTTCGAGCAAGCCAATTGAAATGGAGAATACATAATCCATCTAGTAGAGGCCTAGTGGCTCTTTAATACATTCCTTAAGAAGCGATGCTAGTTGGATAATTTGCCAAAACCACAAGAGGCAGTATTAGAAATTACGAAACTTGATTAGATGCCCGATCATCTTTACACTTTCCGATCATCACTCTCGAACCAGCCTTGTTTCCCAATGGCTTCTCTTTTACAGTAAATGGATGAGATTTACATATTTATCGTGGAAAATTCGATAGTATGGCTTAAATAGCGAGCCACTCTATGTCGGGTATGAGTTTAGTTAGCCAGTTATATTGTTTTCAGATGAATTGACTTGATGACGGGGAACCCATAATCGACCAGCAGTTACGTAACCACGTTGCGGTGGCATGATGCGCCACCCAACCAAGTGATGGTCATACTTTTGTAAAAATAAAACCTGACCTTGATATTGATACTTGAAAATCCTTTTCCCCATTTTCAACTCAATTTCATTGTTCTAGGCGACATCAGAATTGAAGATGTTTTCGCTGACATTGCAAGAAAATTCACGTCGTTCATTCATTTCAAAATGTTTGCCTTGGCTGGAAATGGTCTCAGGCTCAGTGCTGGAGAAGTTTCAACAATCATTGCAGACAATCCTGATTCTGTTGGAAATAAAAAGCTCGGAATGCTTGATCTTTGGAAAGAAAAAAATGGTAGGTTCTCATTCAACAAAATTGTGATTATAAACAGCAGGAAATTTGTCTCTTTTTAATCACCGCTCGGCAGTGTGGCGCATCCTGATGAGTGTTGGAAATACGCGCGCCACCACATCTCCTATTATTCTGAGTACGCAAGTTCGAATTGCCTGTACGGTTAATTGTGTGCGAGAGGACTGCTGGATTTCTGACCGCCGTAATTTTTAAAATGAAACAAAAAAAAATAAAAACACATGTCGAAATAAGGACTTTATGACAGCCCTGGCTTATACCCCTCAATAAAAATAGTTATGCTCCTTCAAACATGACCATAATTTCTTCTGAAAACTTCCCATTTATAAAATGCTAGGCCGCGCCCCACCTCAAAAATACTATCTATCTACAAATAACAGATAGTAAGAACAAAAGTATGCTTTATTTCAAAAAACACGTTGAAAATACTTGGATGGAACGTAAATATCCAAATAAAGAAATGTAAATTCCCAAAATAAGGTGGGCTAAAACAAACCCAACAAATATTTTCATTTTCATTTCGCTTCATGCCCCCTCAAAAAATATCCACTATAACCGTTGTGTGAGGGCCCACTGTTTGAGAATCACCGTAGTTTGTGCATACATATGCGCTTATAGCTAGGGCTGGGAATTTCTGTCAAAAACATTTTGATCATTTACTAGGCCGATTGCATTTGCATATACTTGTTCAAGTCTTCATTGATAGAAAATAGTTTTTTAAACATTAATTAGTTTTTCTTTGTGTTTCAGGATCGAGAGCGTCATCGACTTATATAGCAGAGATTTTTAGGCAATATTTCAGGCAAGAGGGAGGTTGTGTCACTGGTAAGCAGCACTGTATAATTTTATCAGTTTTGTCTCACAACAGGAGAGCGACAGGAATGTCGGTAAAACTGATGACGTCATCACGCCAACTTCATGACCTGTACTACTACGTTTCGGCCTTAATATTTGTGCATCGCTCTCTTATTTCAGATTGGACTATGCTCACATCAGATGTGTTTTTGTTTTTATCATTGTATCTCCATGTCTGCACTGGTATTGCTTTTCTTCAAATTCTTGATTACACGGTATATATGCTACATATAAATTGCTTCATTGGTTTTCCTCTTCAGCAAATATGAACACTTTGCCAGACAATGCGAGCCTGAGTTTATTTTTGTTTAATTAAAAAAAATGCTGGGTTTTTCCAAGAACACTCATAAGACATTGCATTTCGCCACTGTGTCACTCAAATAGTTAGTTCATATGCAAATGTGATTGATTCAGTTTTTTTATCAGGTTCGAGGATCGAGGATGCTTTCCTAGCATTTCCTAAACTCTTCGCCAACGCAGCGCAGTTCCAAAGATTCGCATTGTCTGGGAGAGGTTTATCGCTCAGTATGCACGAGGTTGGAAACATAAAAGAAAATGCAAAAAATGTGGAAGAGAGGAATCTGGATTTGCTCGTTTTGTGGAAATTGAAAACGGTAAAGCTTTAATATTTGATGTATTTGTTCAACCTATGAAAACTGACATAGAAATTTCATGGTGGTGTATAAATAACATTTCATAGGAATTGGTTTATTGCTTAGTTTGATGTTATAAACCAGGGGTGTGCAACCTTCAATACAGGAAGGCCAGATACAAACACCTGAGTGAAAGCGCGGGCTGCACCTGCATTCAACATGTGCTTCCTGGTGCGCGGTTTGCAAACCCTTGATTTAAACATGAATACGAACATTACGACCTTTAATTGATTTATGATCAAGTATACCAAACTTCTATGATTTGTTCATTTTCCAAATTGTTTTTGAAGTTTAGTAAAAGGGGAAGCATTATCAGTAACTCGACTCGGGCAGCAGTGAAGTTTGACAATCGCATGCATTCTTGTTTAGTTAAACATTTGTCTGGCTATATCGATTTGACTCTTTTATACATAAATCTTATTTTATTCTTATCTTATTTTATAGCAGAAATGGGAGTGCTATTTGAAGTCATGGCTTCTTTTATTCCGGCACTCACATGTGATAAATTGGGTACGAAACGTTTTCAGTCGTCTCATATCATGAGATATCAGTCAATGCTTGGGTGGATGGGGTAGGCAATACCGAAACAGAAACGATTCCACTCCAATTCAGACTCTATATTTTCTATCTATCAATATATTTTTCACATGTTGAGCCTCCACTCAGGGAGGGCCATGTTTAGAAGGGGGAACCACCGGGCAGCATGTCATGGGGGTAGAATTTTATTGCTTAGTTTTATGGTTCAAATAATACTGAGCCACCCAGCATGTGATAAAGGGGTAGGCAATACCGAAAACGTAACGATTCCACTACTTGCGAGAGTAATAGCTTCTTAAATATCATTAGATATCAGTCAAATCTTGCACAGTGCCCTTTTTGGGTGAAGGGTGCAACTAATCGTTGCATAGAAGGTTTGGTATTCCCACAGTATGTGTACGAGGTTGGGTTAGGCCATATTTGCCACCCAATTTTTTCTATTTCAGTTCTATTACAAGTTTGGGGACTGTCTTTGTTAGCCAAGCGAATATACCCCCTGCCCATGAGTTTCAGTTCCTTTACATCGCTTGATGTAAAGTAGGCGGACAAAATTAGTTAGTTCTATATTGCTACGCACACTTCTGGAGCGCCAAAAGTGTGATAGCAAATTCATCTTACCCTTTTCCATTTTAATAACACAGGAGATTCAGCAACAACTAAAAAAATCTGGCAACTGGTAAATGCTTTCCTGGATGAAAAAGAAGAATCCCACTCAGGTAAATTGTTACTCAAATACAGTTCCACTGCCATCAGTTGTTATGGCAACCTGATGTGGATGCCAGATTTACAAGTTTTCTGGGGTTGATGGCTCAGCTCAAGTCGCACTTGTACGAGAAAACTTCATTCTAGCAAGGTAGAAGACTTATAATTAATGCAGTAGTAAACCTCACTGCTCTCACTTGTCCAGTTACAGCCCAGATCAAATATTAACTTACCCTGACAGATAAATGTTCCAATTTCACTGAAATTTTAAATATGACTGATTATTTGATTTTAACAACCAAAAGTTTCAGGCGGGCACTTCGTCCTGGAGTAAAATTTTATTTTCGCTAAATGTTGCCCGTCAATGCTGCTAAACACAGTTTGAGTGAAACTCCTTTAAAAAGGCCTAACGTGCCTCTAGATGTTTCATCTCTAGAATAAACACATCTTACTACAGATTCTGATTCCTATTCATACTTTCCATACAGATCATTCTCCAATGCATTCTCGTCCAATGGAACCTCCTGTAGATGAGGAGAGAACGGGTGACGCTGAACCACTCAGACCTGTTGTTGAATCATCTCAGGATGATCCAAGACCAGTGAGGCAGGAACCTGGTGAGTGTTGGTAGAGAATTTTGCTCAACTTGTTTTTATTTAATTTCACTCTTGTTTTACACTCACTCTCACTCTGGAGCAAATGATATTCTGCTCCTAGCAAAGTAAAGGGCGGCCAGTAAAGGCCAGAAGCTACTGACATTGTTTGGCACCATACCTTAAATTTTCTTACAAGACGCTCCTAGTTAGGTGCGAGATTGCTGAATGGTTCACTTCGCCATCTGGAAAACCTCGTTTAATATGGGCAACCGCGGGGGAGCCAAAAGCTATTAAAACTGTGAATAATTAGAATGGTGAATCATAAGTTAGGAAATACGGATGAAGTGAAAACTTGAAGCAGTAATGAGTCCCAGCCAAGAAGAATCCCATGGGCTGGCTAAAGGCTCGATGGATCAGGGACTAGAACTCTGTTCGCCCATTTTACATTAGGTTGTGTAAAGGGACTGAAGCCTATGATCAGAGGGTATATTCACTTTGATAACACTGACAGTCCCCGAACTCGTAATAGAACTAAAATAGGGAAAATCGAAATGAAATTATGGCCTGACCCTAACCTGGTACACATACATAGAGAGTAACGAAATTTGTGCAACTCTAGCGCCCTCTGACGTATGTGAAATATGTATAAGTATAGGAATCCTATGAACTGGCTTAAACCCGATGGATCGGGAACTAGAACTAGGAAACATGAGTAAGTCTCGTTCTGGGTGGGTGAAATTGTAACCTAGTGATAGATTACTCTAGGAGAGGAAAGTCAGCTGTGAATTATTTTAGATTCTTCTTTGATTTCTTTCTTTAGCTGGAAAATTTGCAGAAGAAAAGGAAGCGTTATCTAAGGCTCAGCCGTACAACTCTGATGAGTATGAAGAAGCATCGGCACCAGGTGGAGCTGGTGAGTAACATAGCTGCTAGAATTTTTGTAAATGAGGATGGGATTTACGTATTTATCCTACAGTAGAGGAAAACCGATAACACGACTTAATCATATGCCGTACCACGGCCTCTCTTCCGCCTACCAGTCCATGTCGGGTATGGGATTAGTTGGCCAATTATGTTCAGGATGCATTGACATTATTTTTTGAGAGTGAGTTGATGAGTTATAAAGGCATTTAAATTGGAGTTTTGTTGTCAGAACTGTATAATTTGGAAATCTGGGCCAAACTTGCAACTCAAATGAAAGCTTGTGAAAGCTAAAATTATCAGAATTTTTTAATTTGTTTATTCGTCAATTTATGAATTTATCTACCTGGAAACAGAGTCCTAGAAACTTGGTTTCCCCCAAAGGAGGGTTATAGGGCTGCCATATAGAAGGCAGGTTAGGAATAGTGATGGTCCAAAATTCAATCAATTTATCATTTTATCATCGATTTAACCTATTACATTATTGACAGCGTTGGTAGAAATTATAGATACCTTTCTAGCGGTACTATTAGATTGAATTTATAATGCACCATTCACATTTTTATAAGCATTTCATTCAATATTCGTCTTGACGTCAAATAACTCATTTCGTCAACGTGATCTAAACAACGATGTTACGCAATTACGGGTTACGCAGCGATGTTACGAAATTACTTCATCACTTTGTCATCACTGCGGCATATTTCCATTTTTGGGAATTTTAATTTACTGATTTTCTGTGTGGAAAAATAGAGTAGATAGAGTGTATAAAAAATTTTGACTCGGAGTATATGGTATATAAAAATTTGAATTGGAAACATTTGTTCGTATAAAAAATACCAAAAACGCCTTCACAGAACTGTGGATATGGAAAAAATAGCATTTATACAATGTATGAGAAACTTTAATTTGTTTTCAGTGAAGCGCAAAGTTTCTGGTCAGCAAGAACGCCAAGATGCACTGGGTGGACAAGAAGCCGCTGGAGGTTTGGGACAAGATGAAGGTCTGTAATTGATAATTTGAAAAATTATTGTGAGGCTTGCTAATAGGGTGACAAACATATATCTTTAGGGAGACATGATAACAGAGCTACTCAAATATTTTCACCAAATGTTCGCACATATAACAGGGCTACTTAAATATTTTCACCAAAGGTTCGAACACAAAATGTAAGATTAACATATATCTTTAGGGAGACACTATAACAGGGCTACTCAACTATTTTCACCTAAGGTACACACACAAAATTGAAGATTTAAATATATATTTAGAGAGACACTATAACAGGACTTCCTAATTATTTCATCAATGGTTTGCACACAAAATTTAAGATTTACCTATATCTCTAGGGAGACACTATTACAGGACTTCCTAACTATTTCATCAAAGGTTTGCACACAAAAATTCAAGATTTACATATATCTTTAGGGAGACACTATAACAGGGCTACTCAACTATTTTCACCTAAGGTACACACACAAAATTGAAGATTTAAATATATATTTAGAGAGACACTATAACAGGACTTCCTAACTATTTCATCAATGGTTTGCACACAAAATTCAAGATTTACTTAGATCTTTAGGGAGACACTATAACAGGGCTACTCAACTATTTTCATCAAAGGTTTGCACACAAAATTTAGGATTTACATATATCTTTAGAGAGACACTATAACAGGACTTCCTAACTATTTTCACCAAAGGATTGCACACAATATTTAAGATTTACATATATCTTTAGGTAAATTATACGGAAATTACATATACGACAGACAAACACGATAAAACACCATTGATTGCATTGTCAACATGAAGTTCAGTTTTAGCTGACCGATGTGTTTTATTGGTCATAGATGTTACTTTCTTACAAGAACTAGTATAGGAAGTTTTATAATTTGACTAAAATAGGGGTTGTCACAAATTTCATTGGATTTTTCCACATTTTTTCAATAAATTAAAAACTTTTAGAATGTCTAGGGCAGGGGTGGGCAACCTTTTTGTGCTTTTTTTGGCTCAAAATTGGCTAAATTTAAGGACAAAATTCTTCCGCGTGCCGACCAAAATTAAAAACAATGCTTTGCTACTTTCAAAGCAAAAATACACAATAATAAACCTTTTAAATATGTACAGACAGATTCACATATCGGGAATATATCAGTCTGACAAATAGACTTGATTTCTTTTATTATTCTATATCTGTGAGACTTCTGCTGCTGCATTACAGCTAATAGCGATTTTACATTGGGTTTATATTTTGTAACTTTCAAAGAAATACACGAACTACTGGTTTCATCTTTCAGGCTACTCCTGTAACGAAACCTTATGAAGTTCATAACTGAGAACAGGGATTTCCAAGCATAGGTCGATCAAAACATGTAGAGTAGTGCATTTGCAAAGTTTTTAAGACACGAAAAATTTTCGGAGATGGTATACCAATCACGCAATTGTTCGTTTTCTGCACTTCTCTCTTGTATTCCCTTCCCTAATCGCTTATATTTTTTATCGAAAACAATTTATAACAGTGAGTTAGCAAGTAGCTATAACCAACATGAGCTGTACAACTTCATAAATCAAGCAAAAATGACGAAAAATGGTGGCACAGACGAACTTTATTATGTAAGAATGTAGCCAAATAAATTCTGCTCTAATTTCGTGCCTAATCATTTGTTACGTCATAATATATTTATTTGTAGCCATATGTCACGAAAGGACAAAAAGAGTTTAAATAAATAACGAATTGTTAACAAACAATAATGAATGAACGAACACCTAGCTCCATCAGATAATGCAGAGTCTTGAAACTTTTTATCTGAAGAAGAATGATCTCATTTCCAAGGCCTCGATCGCGTCCCCAATTAATGTACTCGCGTGCCAAGTTTGGCACGCGTGCCAGGGGTTGCCCACCCCTGGTCTATGGTGTTATTTGATCGTTGCTAATGAGACAAAGTATAACATCAAACTAAAACAGAAATGAATATGGCATCTGTAATAAATATGACTTTCTATTCGACCTGAGCAGGCCATCTTAATGTTATGGCGAACCACAGCATTACATCGGGTTCCATTCAAAGTTGAGTCTGGAATGGTTTACTGGTTATTCCTTGCGCAATAAAAGATGAGTTGAATTATGTGACACCTGAAAGTGATAAAATATCTCATATATTTCAATCACATACGTATTTTAGAACGCCAAACACAGAAAAAAAGAAAACGCTGATAAAATATGGCAATGTGTGGTAACCATAAAACAAAGCAAGTCTGATAAGACCTTGTTTTGAAGTTTAGTATTTCAAAACGTAATAGGGAGTCGTTAACGACATCGGAAAGTTATAAAACGAGCGAGTGGTTTTCAACCTCACAGGTTGAAGGTTTTTGCGCGATAACTTCTGAAGAAAACAAAGATTTCGGATCGGTACATGTTACAAGAATGCGAGATAGTAAGGAAGTTCGCTGCTCGATTAAGTCAAATCCAATTTAAGTTCCTAAATAAGTTGGACCATGATATAGCGAAATCTCACAAATATACTCGCATATTTTGGGGCGAGAGAATATGTTATTTCTATTTATTACTCAAGTCAATTTATTAAAACAATATCAGTTATTGGAAGCGACTTGATATGGGAAACACCTTCTACGATATTTTCACAAATTTGCCTCATAATGCCTGACTTGACTTTATTTGGTCAAAGTTGATTAAAATACAAATCAAATTGATATGACTGAATCAATAGAGCTGTTAGTGGGTTGACGTTACGTCAGTTCACAGCACATGGGAAAAAAGTGGTTTGATGAAAATATTTTATTCATGAATTTATAAAATTATATGTTCCTTCAAAATTGGTGCAGCTAGACTTCAATTCGGAAAAGATTCTCAGAGACAACTTTGGTGGCCTCAGTCACAAACCCAATACCAGGGTGTTGAGAAATCACTTGCGTACATGTAAACAACCGCAAGTAACGACGAAGTCTTTATTAGCGTGATCAGACGCTTAGTGAACTGCTGGGCCAGGTCTGATAGGCAGGCAATCAGGCCTTGTGTTTTTCAAAAACAAATCACGCATCTGCTGGGTATCGAGAGGAGCCTTCGTTTGAAGTTTGTTATATGATTTATCGGTCGCGAAGAACTTTGTTGCGTTTCGGTTACAGGTCGCAAATGAGTGCTGGATCTCCAGTTGCAAAAGCTAAACGATGCAATGTATGTATATTTATTTGCTTCAATATGTGTCAGAATCTTGAAATTAAAAAAAACAGTATCCAGGAGGAGTTCTTCCCCTAAAGTCACACAGTTGGGCAACATGTATTACTCTCTCTCAAGTACAATAGAAGTTTTGAGATTGCTATGCTCAAACAGGACATGTTCCTTAAGTGAAAGAACTGATAGAACTGCAAATGCGCTATGCGATACACAATCACATAATATTTAAAAAGAGGCGATTAGATGTCGTAAACTTGGACGCAAATCTACAATACCTAACAAAGGAAAGTACGCGAATTGCTGATAAAAGATAAACCTATTCAATCAGCATATTTCCACCTTTGGTTGATGGTTTCATCCACATCGGCTTTTTGAGAAATGCAAAAGTCAAATTAAACTTCAGTCAGTTAGATTTGCTACTTCTGATCAGCTCAAAGTCCAGAGTGAGAGAATGAACCGCTCTCGCGAATCAATTGGATGTTTTTGCTTTGTGGGGATTTGAAGGACATGAATCGCAAAAATAATTAGTGAAACATTATGAGAAGTTAAAGTTTAATTTTTTCTGATGGTGTGCTCAAAGTTTAAAATGAGGGAAGTCAAAGTTAGATGCTGTCAAAATCTTGAAGCGAGTTTTAGGTTTCTGGAGAAATTCAATGTTGTATACGAGATTAAAATATTCAGTTTCATTGAACTCTACATTGAATTTTTCAATATACCAATTTATAGATGGAGAATATCTGGTTTGAGGGAACTGATATGGGAACAGAGCTACAAACCATGAGGATGATGCAAACAAGCATAACATATTTTAATGATAAGAGACTGATATACATTCTATCCATTGCTGTTTAAATTTATTCACTGGAAGAGGAGTCAAAATCTAATATCTTTATAATGAAAAAAAATTAAAATGAACGCTTCATCGTCTAAACGAATCTCCAGGCGTAATAATTTTTTTTCTTTTGCAAATAAAAAAGGTAATTCTGAGAAATGATTTCATGCGATATTTCGCGATTTTCAACAGATATTTTTTTTTCAAATATCGACCAATAGAAAGACTATGTTGAATTATTTGGGTAGATCTGAAAAATAGTCCAACAGTAGTAAACGTGTCCATTTTTATGAGTGTGCAATATACGAAAAAAGGCAAACGTTAAATTTATTTTTTGCATCTACGTTGTAGAAAAATTTCAAATATTCAAGAAAGTCATCAACGATTTAACGAGGAGAAATGCACAGCCAGCTTCAACTATCGGATGTCTTACAACTCCGGATGTCAAGATTCGTCCTCGTACAGCGGATGTAGATTTCTATGGAAGCGCTGCCAAGGATGCTGAATATAAGCCAGAGCTTGGTTTCAGCCAGCACACTCAGAAGCAACCTGGCAAAGAAATATCCATGGAAAGCTTTTTTTCGGATGGCAAATCGAGAGTTGCTCTAGTCGGGGGAGCCGGATATGGCAAAACCGAAATGTCTAAAAATTTCTCCGTTGATGTGCTTGATCAAAAGATACCAGAGCTTAGAGGAGTCGAGGTTGTTCGTCACATTAACTTTCGAGATCTTCTATCTAAGAAGGAGGTCAGTCTCGGGGAATTATTGTTTGGAGATACAGATTTGGATGAAGATGTCCGAGATCATGGTGTAGGATGGATCATATTGCATCCCGAAAAGTTTCTTCTCGTAATTGATGGAGCTGATCAATACGCTTCCCCTCAAGATCTTGGCAAATTACGCGGTAACGCCAATCACTATGATAAGGCAGATCCCAAGCTTCTTATAAATCTCATCCTCGCTCAAAAGCTTTTACCCGGCATCAAGCTTCTCTACTCATCACGTGAACACGTTTTACGTTTCTTCGAAGGAGAAGTCCGTCCTGAGAGAGTCATTGCTTTAGCAGGTTTCGATGAAGAAAGTGTGGAAAAGCTCATTTACGCATTTAGCGGAGAGCATGGCGAATATGTCATGAATCGTCTCAAGAAAGAAGCACGCGGCTTACTTTCTCTTTGCTCTATTCCGATGTTTCTCGTTCTTACAGTAACTGTGCTGATACTGTACAGAAACCTCAATCCCAAGAAAATGACCGACATCCTGCTTCTCGTCTTGCTGAATACCATGAATTCAGAGCATATGAGAGCAGGTGGAAGAGAGGATGTATCTATTTACGAAGTGTTCAACAGGTTGAAGAAAATGTCGTTTGACGGAATGAGGAACAAGAAAGTTACTTTCGCCGAATCAGATTTACCGGAAGGAATCACCATTGATCACTTGAAAGATATCATGATCCCAATACCAAGATCAATTGGAATCAACCAACGACTCTTCGAAAGGAACTTTGTATTCTTTTTCATCCACCAGTCAATTCAGGTTCGTAAATTAAGGCGTGGCTTTAGGGCGTGGTACCTTGGAAGTAGAAAAACTCATTTATCATATGGTTTGACTTGTTTCGGCTTCAATTTTTTTTTAAATGATTTGATGAAACGATAAAAAATTGCAATTTCGAGTTTACTTTCTTATTTGCTCCGAATTCAAACCAGGTTCGCACGCACCAGATCGTTAATTTCCAATACAAAGTTCAGAATAATGTTTTCTCAACTGGGTAATAATAAAATACACAATAAATATTTGGTCGGATTGAACAACTTATTACCCACCAGACTTTGCATTAAAACTGGTTCTTGGTCTGATTTGAAATGCTTTTACCAGGGTGGTCCAAACGGGCCCGCAGCTTCAATATCTGTGGCCCGCGTCGCGTATCAAAAAATCACATTTGGTGCTGTTTCGTCCTAAAATTAATCAAAAAAATCATTTGACATATTGTTACATAACTAATGTCACTTAATTGGCTAGTGTTATGGCTAACTGAGGCAACTATCAAAGTTGAATGATGTGCTTGGCAGTATAAATTGTTATTCGGCTTTCTGGCTGTTTTAGAATCTTGTGAGCAATGAGCATTTTCCAAAGTTAAGATTTTGCTTCGAAAATCTCATTGGTGTTCGGAAGCATTTTTTCGTTTTTATGAGAAGTTGGAAATCTTTCGCTAAATGTACCTTTGCGAGTTCTATCAAGTTTTTAATGGTTTTTGCATATTTTACCCTCATACCATGTGTTTGCACAATAAGAGAGTTTGTTTTGAATTGCACTGTTTACCCTTTCTTGGCACTATTGTGGCCCGCGAACAATTCAAAAATAATTTGGACCACCCTGACCTACACTCTTCGCTTGTAATTGTTTTCATGGTAATTGTGCTGTGAAAATTTTCTTTGACATCGTCATTTGCCCAGCGCAGTCTAATGTAAGATTTGTGTTAATTAACAAGAGTTTCATGATCTCGGGCATGAGAACTGTTTCTTTGAGTTAAGAAAGCTGAATCGTTGTTGCTGGTAAACAAATCAGCCTTTAGTGGAAATACTGAAAATATCATAGCGTTTAAATGAGGCACTGTAAATACTCATATATTACCGTAAAATATAAACCAAATCTGTGTAAGTTATCAAATTGTGTGGTGATGATGACCTTTGAAACAAACAAAGTAGTTAATTAAACATGAAAGATAACTCAGAAGGATGATCTGGTGGCTGCGAGACTGGTTTGATCTTGGGAATATATTCGAATTCCGTTTTTCATTCTGGTATTTTTTCTTATCTTACCTTTTGGTCGAACAGGAAGCACTTGCTGCTCTTTACGTTGCTGAAATGCCGACAAAGAAATTCAAAAAGTTTGTCTCAACTGAACTCAATTTATCGCATTGGGTTGTAGTTCGTCGAATCTTATGCGGCTCTATATTGAATCCCGAGACATCCAAGATTGCAATGGGAGACGCAGCTGATGTTGGGATTCTTAAACAGGGTGAGCTCGTCAGTTGTAGTAATCGTTTGTGCATGTTATCAGACGTTTCACATTGATATGAGTGAATCTGTGTATGTTTATTTTACTCTTGCTCAGCGACGAAAAGTGTGAAACCGTAACATAATCAAACTGTTTGGGTTGCGGGAGAAGACGTTCCCACAAATATTTATCCAAAACTTGTGATTCTGCAACACAGCTGATTAGCATTCACTTGTTAAGAATATTTATTCCGACTAGTCACGCTCCACTGATTTTATTGACAGAATCGTTAGAGAACCAAAGTAAATTTAACTTTGAGTAATGTATTCTGACTAGTCACGCACCACTGATTCTATTGACAGAATCGTTAGAGAACCAAACTTTGAGTAAGTTATTTTGACTAGTCACGCTCCACTGGTTCCATTGGCAGAATCGTTAGAGAACCAAAGTAAACCAAACTTTCAGTAAGGTATTTTGACTAGTCACGCTCCACTGGTTCCATTGGCAGAATCGTTATAGAACCAGAGTAAACCAAACTTTGAGTAAGTATTTTGACTAGTCACGCTCCACTGGTTCTATTGGCAGAATCGTTAGAGAACCAAAGTAAACCAAACTTTATGATTTAATGAATAATTTTCTGACTGCAACGTTTTGCTTCCAAGGCATCGATCTGAAGAATAAGAGATCAATCTTGTTATCGAGCTTAAAGGATCAGCTCCGGCCTGGCTTGTTTCAACGTAAGTTCAAAGGAAGAGAGGCAGCACAGAGGGGAGATCTACTCGAGCTCATGCATGCGCTCAATGAGTGTGGTCATAGTGCTGATGACGTCATCAAATCATCCATCCGTGAGATGGAATTCTACTTCATGCCTCTCACTCCAAGTGATAAATTCACTCTGGCATCTGTTCTCGGTCGTTGTTCACGTCTCGATGGTCTCTGGCTGCATGGTGTTCCTCTCACATCATCTGATCTCAAACTCCTTGCTTCATCAATGCAAAGTTCGAATATCAAGGTCAGGATTGAATAAACCTACTATTTGTTTGAAATCGAATTTAATTTCACTGAATCTATCCAACAACAGTCCATAATAATTGACAGGTGTTGCTTGGTATGTCATTGTAAATGAATTTGTAACAGTTGCAATAATGTTAAATCACAGGTAATATCTGGTAATTTTACAGATATTTTAGCAGTACCAGGCCTTTAATGTTACTATGAAACTTTTAATCAGATGCTAAACTCAACATTTCAAATACTGATTGACCAAAATTTTGACTCCCAACACCACTATACCCTACTCCACAAATGCAACATTCTTTCACTCCAAAATTGTAGTCTGATATCCGACTCCACTGACTTATACAATACAGCTCTGACTCTTACATCAGACTAAATCCGCTCATACATCGTCAAAATTCCACTCACTTCTCCCATTTTAAATTTGATCACCTTTAATTCAATAGGTTATTGAGTGTTCTCTCTGAACAAAGCTTCAGTTAAGCATCCAAGCTACTGTAAATCCTTGCTGTTGCCATTCCGCATAACTTGTGTTGGTAATCAATGATATTCGATCCATATCGACCGATATTGTGGATAATTAGTGATTATGCGAAAAATATCATAATTTTGACAAATTCATTTCCGTGAAAATATTTAAAAAATCGTTTCCTTAGACCAAGTGCATATTTAACCTAACTATGTGTGAGCTATTGATGAGCTTTCATATAAACAGTTGCAATCTTCGTTTTTTCCTCTTTCGAATACTACTAATGACTACATCAGTGGTTCTCAACCGCCGGTCCGTGGACCGGTGGCGGTCCGCCAAATATATTCCAAAGTATATTTGCAAAATACAAAGTATTGACTGCATGTTCATTCATTTTGTGATTTTTTAACTCCTATTGAATCGTAGTACCGGTATTTGTCTAACAGCCAAACTTGATGAGAAGTCCACTGCCAATTTAATCCAGAGAATTTCGTGCGGCCCGCGAAGCATTCAGTGTCAGTATTATTAATATTACTGGCAACACTATTTCCAATACATCTATTTTAATGGATAATCATTGACATCTAATTGACATCTTATCAGAAAACGCACAAAGATTAACGGAGAAGGGGTAACGTTATTTTGTGGAATGTTTCGGCGCACGATACACGGGATATTTGAAAGTAATAAAAAGTTTATAACTTCAGCTCAATGATTAATACAACGGAAGATCTTGAAAAAATGCCCACGTTTCAATAATCGGTTAATTGTCACAGGAGGGATTCATTCACATTTTCTGTATTCGAAGTCTTGCAAAATGCGGATCTTCCGAAGCAGAAAATCACCAAGTTCTTGAATAGTAAATATACAGTTGCGGTTCAGGTTCGTAATGAGAAGGAAGATTTGAATTTCCGGCGCAATCTGCATTCCTGGCCCTCACTCTATAAAACCGTAACTGGATTATTTCTAATTTTATTTTAGTTGAACAGAGGCGGTAGTGTTTTTTATGGTGGGGGCTTTGTACAAAAGTTCCCGAAATACTTCCCTGAAGCATTATTAACTAGAATTTTGCATCTTAACTCGACACAAAATGTCATGAAGGAAGGTTCCATGAGACATAGGTTAAAATACGTTTAAGCACAATGTTAAAATTACCAAAAAGGGGAGGGGATTGAAAATAATCCGAAAATTACTATAAAACTGTCGCCACAATTAGGCATGATGATTCTGCATTTGCGCAAAGTATGCAATCGGCCAATGCGAGTCTATTCATAATTTGCTTTATTAATTTGAATTTGTGTGTTTAATATAACCTGCGGTTGCGTCGACAAAATAGGAACATTACTATGAAATATCACAACAATCCGCAGCTATGAAATAGTGTTTCAAACTACCCGGATTAGATTTAGTTTTGATTCGTATTTTTGCATTGTTACGAATCATACAAATTTGATCTGTTCCTGCAAAACAGTTTCCGCTCTACCGCAATGCTACCACTAAAGATTATATCCTAGATGTCAACGTTAGAGAAATCCCTAGATCTGCGATAAAACCTTAAAGACTACAATTTATTTTTTTGATTGTACAGTGATACCCCGGTAGTAGACTAAAAATGCTGCGGTAATCGAACGGAAATTCGGATCTTGAACGCTCAAGCCGGGCGGAGCTCGCGGCCGAGTGAGATGACGCCACAAAATATCCCAACTTAATCGATACAGTTCATGACTGACAGAAGAAAATCTTAGTATGCAATTGAGACTTGCCAAGTCATCTCGACTCATCTGTTCGTCCTTACATAAAGCGCTTAGTAAAGCTAAAAATTTCCAAAATTCATCACTGAACAAAATATTCATTGACTGTTTCTTTTTATTTTATGCTGCAATATATCCGTATGGATGCAGTTGTTTGTTTTTGTTAATAAAAATTGACAGGTAGAAAGACTAAAAAATCGCTTAATCAGCGGTGACTGGTTAATATGGTTCCCGATAGCAAATAGGTTCGTCACCCCTGATTTAAGCCCTGAACGGCTGGATGTTCGTTAAATCTATGACCTCATAACGGCGGCTTGCTTCATAACCGAGTAGTTTGATAGCACATAGTACGGTACCTAATTGAAAAGTTCGCACGTTCCGTAATTTGACAGTAGGCCTATAACTTAGTGAAGTTTGATAGTAAAATGGAGGCATGAAAACCCAGTTGGTGGTGTTGACAGGACAGAGGAAGAGACTTCAACTTTTTACAACATGCCCCGAAATGCTCTTGAAAACGAATATCCCGAGCTCAGTGACAGAGCCATTAAATTACTGCTGGTTTTTTGTGCAATTTACCTTTGTGAGAAAAACTTTTCAACGTTACCTCTCATCAAGACCAAACATTGAAATCGCGTGGAAGTCAACGCTTTACGTTGCTTTACAGAAACATTATTAGAACCGCGTTTAAAACGTATATTATCGAAACGACAGCAGCAAATTCATCATTAAATTGGATTATATATATATCTTCTTTTGCACCGCCTCATTTTGTCGTAATTGCATTCTTTCGACTATGTTTTGTATTCATGACATTTTTGGTTAATTTTGAAGGTCCGCCGGTCCGCAAAATTTGTTTTGGAATTTTACCGGTCCGCGAACTGAAAAAGGTTGAGAACCACTGGACTACATAATGTAACAATAATATAAAGCAGATCTCCCCATTTCCACACTTCAGTAAATAATGCGGTAAAGACAGGTTAAAATAACAGACGATGGGTCATTCACTGTTAACAATTTTGTAACCATTACATAAAGCAAATGCCAAACCATGCTCATAATTTATTATGTTGAAATTCTTATTTGCAGATAAAGAAGGCTTATTTTGGAATTCCGGTGAGTTGATCAAAAGTGATTTTCGTTTTATCTTGATATTTCAATGCAATATTAACTTTTTATTTCCATACCATGCTATGTAAGCTACTCATCTCTATTGCCTCAAATTGTTCTCAATGAAATTATTTTTCTATTCAGAATGCAACCAACGAAAAAGTGAGTCAGTTAAATTTATTTGTTATGGATCTCGAGTCCAATCCTTTGAACTTTTACCTCGGTCAGTGTGTAATAGATTAGGCTATGTCGATTCTTTTCCGCAGTCATTGGATGTTTGCCACGGAAAAAATATTGATTCAAATGTATTTATTGCGTGTTACCAGCTTGGTTAAATCATTTCGACTGCGACCCTCTACTGCTCAGTTCAATTTACGCATAATTGTCGAGTTTTGAAAAGCAAGTTGTCGCCCCTGTGAATATTGGTTCACACCAAGAGTTCGCCAGCAAAAATGAAGGTTGCAAACCGTTTTATGCGAAACGATGAAAAACTACTCTCTGCACCAGTTTTCCCCAAGCCTCCCGAGATATTCTATTTCTTCGTTTTTGTCTTTCTAAGCAAAGTAGTGAAATTTTTAATGAATTTAAATTTACTTCATATTACTCCTAAAAATTTGGAAACGTTTCTTTGACCAGGATACGCCAATGTTGCTCAAAAATCGCTTTGTAATAAATTTGAATCAAGTTTTATAAATAAAGTAAAACACATATCGGTCCATTCACGAATAGGATCTTCTTTTGCGTTAGTTTTGTTCAAAATCGGTTCTGCTTCTCCCGATTTTTACTTTCTATTGCGTCTCCATTTACACTGAAGTGCATTTTTTTTATCATACTAACTATGTTCATCCAATGTGTACTTTCGGTTTGTGATAAAATAAACTACTGACTATCACAGAAAATATCGTCAAATCCCTTTTACTTTTTCGAGGTTTTTGCACAAAGGTTTCGCCCAGGTTCTCTGATCTCTTGGCCATATATAACCAGTGTGTTATCTATGCATAAGCAAATATACAGGGTGGTCGCTAGAATCACAGATTACAGAAATTTGTTAAACTCTATTTATTTTCCTTGTATTCTGACTTTGCAACCAGATCTGTAGTTCTACTTTGTAAAGTTAATCTTTTGCTTTACAGATACTTGCTACCGAATCTGCTACTGAAGTGAGTTGACTTGTTGGAATTATAGTTTCAGTATGAAACCGTTTTATATTCACCGCATGAATTTCTTTCCGTACAAAGTGTCGACTCCTATTCCTAGGTTTTGAAGTTTTTTCTTAAAACTCATTATTAATTTCTTATTGTAATCGGAGCCTAAAATGATTATTGTGGCGTTCCTGTTATCAGTATGACGACATCTGATCTAATTCAAAATATCCTAGAAGGTATAAAAAGTTTGGGCTGACTGGTTTGACCAGGGTTCGAACTCAAGAAGTCAGACTGCTAATTCCATCATTTTTTAAGTATTACCCCGAGCCATACTACAAATGCCATCACTGTTTAATTTACAAAGTTTCATTTTGTTTTAGCGGATGAGGATTGCAAAGGAAGCAATCAAGGTGAGTTGATTCTACTTGTTCGGTTATTTCTCTTTCAACAACATTCCTTTATCATATTACTCTGAACAAGGCACGAGACAAGCATTCCACTTCACTATGCCTGTAATCCAGCTGATATGCAAACTCCATTCTCCATAATTGACCAAATTTATACAAATTAGGTTCGAAACACGTTAAATAAACACTTTTTTCTGACCCCCCCCCCCCCCAATTTTATAAAAAAAAAATTGTGCAAAGTGGCATATCACTCTGAATAAAGCCTTAGATAAGCAGTTACATAAATTTTACAAAGAACAAAACGTGAAGACCGTTGGACTAACCCGGGCTCGAACTCGGATTCCTCAATCTGTGGGGTCATCGTTTACATCGGTAATCCAGATGTTATGCAGACTCTATACAAGGCTTTAGACAAGTAATTGACCAAATATATCTAAACTACGTCCGTAATTTCCTTAAATTTTAGTAAATTGAATGCATTGAATAAGAATATATATTGTGAAAGTCGGAATTTGGCATTCAATTATTAAGGCTGGAAATAAATGTTTTAGATAATTTCAATCCTTCCGTCCCATGCGGTACTTTTCCAATGTATATTCACGCATTAAAGATTAATTTACGCATATTTTTCACTCATTATATTTACGATATCGACCAAGTTAACTGCACAGTGATTATAAAAGTCTGTTTAATGTCAATCAACCAACCCTATAATTCACATTGAAACCGTTTTCGGATTAACCCAGCATTTCATAAACTTAGTTTTGCAACCTTTGGCTCATATTATCCCGGAGGCATAAATAGCAGTGTGATGTCATAGTATGGCATCAAAACAACCCTCTCATATATAAACCGCATATGACGTCATTTATTCTTTTCCACTGTAACAATCCATACTGTCTCAAGCCCAATGTGTATTCTCATTACACTGAGTGCAAACATGGAACGTTTTTCTGAATTCTTGTTGTGTAAAAATCGATTCTCCGCAACTAATGAATCAATCGATTCATTTTTGAAAAATGAAACTTTTTTCTACAGGGTAATCAATTTACTTCAAGCCCCGTGCTGCCCGATATTTTACTCAAAATTCTGCTGTTTTAATTTAATTGAAGGGGAACACTTTTTATTCCATCATGCTTCACTGTCCCGGTCACCTTTGTCCGCCGACCATGCTCATCTAATTCCTCACCGGTACCGATGTTCTTCTTGTTCCCATATATTAAAATTGCTTCTTGTTTATAGAATGATCTACCTCTCCCACATGATAAAGCTGTTATATTCTGCGACATCTTGCCTCATATCACTGAGGTGATAGGGCTGTACTACAGAGTAGAACCTGAAGATATTGAAATGATTCAGAGGAAATTGGATTCAATTCCAACATCGGTGAGAATTGTTTGCATTCAATTTCAGATGTTTTTCGTTTCTTTAGGGATGCAAAACATGATATTGATGCATGTATGGAGACTCAGTGATTGGTTGTTGGTGTGAGACGAAAACTCAGCAAATCCATGTTTGTTTCATGTTTCATGGAACAATAATAAAAGGTAAACCAGACAAATTTCATACATGGCCAAGCGTATTCGATTATTGCTTAAAACTGTAAAATCGAGCTCATATCAAGTATACTGTTTACTGTGATTTTTCTGTAAATTTACTGATAATTTGGGAAAATGATGAGAATATATTCCTACTCATTGACTCATAATATCGTACAACTGTGGTATCATATTACAATTGGGTGGATATTATTATATAGGCGGAGTGGAAAGCCTATGAGACGGTTAAGAAGCTGTAACCAAGCAACAGTCCCTACAATGAATCCAGTGCAGCAGAATTGATTGTTATTCAGAGTTTTTTTTGCCATTTCCAACATTGATAGAAGTGATGTTTTATCTAGAATGGTCCAAGCCATCTGATCAGCTTTCCTATCCCCGATATCTGTGATTCTGTATAATTTTCTATGAATGTTTATTGTTTGTTATAGGAACTGAAAGTGGGTATGTACGATCATGACTGCGGAGAAGTTCGTCTTTATCAAAGAAGATCTGAGCAAGAACAGAAATAAACAAACTGACTTGTCTTTCATGAAATCATTTGTTGAAGCAAGATTTCAATATTCGGACAATTTTATTTTTCCCAACTTTGATTCCGATGAGAGCGATGTTGTGAAACTATTGTATTTTAATGTGATTTCACTGTTAATTTTACAGCTCATTTTGAACAGCAAGTCTGTTATTTCATTACATTCAAATATATCCGGTTGAAGTGAACTTGACTATGTTGGCGTCGCAAGTAGAATATCTCGGGTTCAAACCCCAAGCCCACCGCCTCACTCAGGGTCTAATAAATTTAATACGCAAAAATATCACCTTTTTATATATCAGTGGCTGCTCGCACAGAGCCTTGTTTGGGATGAAACTGTGAAACGTCTTATGAAATAGATTCACGAGAACATGAAAAAGCAAATACTTTGACCATGGTGAGGTGGCGGGAATGGGGTTTGAACCCGAGATTTTCACAACCACTTTTTATATCGTGACCATCTCTGATTTATTCACAACTTAATTTTTATTCAGTCTCACATTATACAGTTGTTTCAGCATGCTTTATATTATATAACTTACGTAATCTAGTATTTCACATAGACGCTCAATTTTTCTGAACAAAGCTCTGAACACGCAGTTTACGCATATAGCTACTATTACGAGCAAGAAATTTGAACCCTAGATTTATAAGCCTGGCTCTGTACTATCCTAAAGTTATACCGAACCTTTCCATACTGATATGTTAAATGTGAATGACCACTCTTCATAGGGAACTCAGTTAATAGTTGTTGCTGAGCTGATCTGGTATCTAATGGACTGTGTTGGGATTCCTGTTACGACTCTGTAACGTCGAGTAGTTACGCGACCTACTTGCAGTTCGGCATCTTCCAACACTCGGTTGCGCAGGGGCAAATATATCTTGACGGTTTACTAAACTAATTCCTGGGCCTTGCAGAGCTTTGTTTGACTTTTTTATTAGAGTGATTTTTCTTTCTATGTTTTAATTTTTTTCAATATTATACAGTAGAACCCGATTTGAACCATTTTAATTTATATAATGTTCGCTCTTACCGGGATTTAATGAAGCAACCTATTAGATTGGAATGCTAAGCACTTTAAACGAACTTTTCTAGTGTGTAATATGTGAGTCTCTATATGTCAGCATAGCCAGACAAACTACAGGGAAATCTTGAATTCAGGTTTTCTAAAGCAACTGCAGTTTATGCTTGTATGTAGAAAAGTTGCATGATTCGTAGTCTATAAGTGCAACAATTTAATTGTTCTTTGGTCATAAATTCATTGCCCAGCTTCAAATAAATTCTATATAATCAATGACATTTCTCATATCGGATTTTCAATAATTAGACACAAGGCCATGGGTTTTGTGGGTTTCCTAAGGGGTTAACCATACCCTCCTATACCCGAGTCCTAACGATTTGCGACAAGACTATAAAGTCCTCCTATTTTTTTTGTTTAGGGATTTTTCG